TTCCCACAAGCTATAGGTCTTTTTCATGTCTACTGCAGTTATGCCTATAGCAGTTGTGGCAAGCAGTGTTAATTTGATTCAGTGACCGTTGCATGCACTGGCACTTTTGGGGTTTTGTTGTTGATTGTGCCACAACAGTTGTGCCTAAGAACAAGCAAAGTTTTGACAATGTGTGCAATGGCCTCGCTCGCAGTTCTGAAACATCCGGAGCATGCTGCTGTTGACCATGACTTGATGGTTTTGATATCAAATTTTAAATCGCCTGCCACAATATGGAAAAAGGTTCAGAATGCCGGAATTTTGGCCCATTAGACACCATGAAGTTCAGCTAGAGAATTTTACGAATTCTTATCACCTGGTCTTCTATAAAGCACACAAAGAAAACTGTTTCATTATAGATTGTCCAACAGCATATGCTGTTACATTATAAGTTACTTGAGTTTCATCTGCACATGCCCACAAACAGACATTGAGTTGGCTTATAACTGTTGGCTGTGTATTGAGGGAGTGTAAATATCATCATTTTCTAATGTGAATTAAATACAAAAATAAGCGTGTATCAAACCATTTGTTTCCACTTTGTCAGTGCAATTTTCCTCTCGGCATTCTGCAGTCATAAAATGCATAATAACCTGCACTACACGCATCGTATGGTGAAAATTCTGCCGTTATTTTGATCTTATTACTGTTCTACAGTACATGCAGTCAAAGCTGCAGACACGAACACAAACGGTGCTTGTGTTTGTGTGATTCCAGTTTTTTCACCTGTTGTTATTGCAATGCTTTCGTAATAGCGCATTTGTTCTAACCTCACATCTGTAATTCATTCCGAATCAAATGGCCCATCAGAACGTGCACAAATTAAAATTACCAACCAAGATTATTCTTTTTTATTCATTACTACAAAGTGCCAACAAACACTATATTGTCATCAACGATGTTCGATACAGTGCTGAATATGAGTGTTTACAAATTCACTGCAAAATTTGCAATTTGGTGCAGAATTTGTATTCAGATACTGAAACAACGCGTTGATGAACCACCATTCCTAGATTGCATCTTAGTAGCTTTACTGGACTAGTAGAACGCAATGACAAACATACTGGTTCGTCGTGATATGTGTACGCATGTACCCCAACGTTTCACGACATGAACACAAGCACTATTCCGTAGAAACACAGCCCTGCTCTGCTTAGCCGTCAATCCTCCCTAAAAAGTCGCAAGCACCTATTGGGCTCACACTACTCCTGGCAAGCTGCTTGTCATACCATACATGCGTGTCGTACCATACATGCATGTGGGTGTGTTCTCTGCACTTGCTCCAGTCCAGACCATGCACAAGTGTGGCGAGTTGGGCGGCAATGACAAGATTCATGCAAGCAAGGTGCACTCCAGATATCTACAATGCTCTCGAATTTCTGGACGACGTAGCGCAGAGCATTTGGGTTGCCTAAAAGAAGCGTGCCATATGCTTACTGTCAATGCAGTGAGTTTTCTCAATGCCTGCACCACTCACTCGGCAACGAGATGCTCTTGTTTCTAGAAAGCCTTGCACACTTGAAAGTATTCCGCACAATGTGCCGGCAGTGTTTAGGTTGTCATTTATTGAAGGGGCCTTGCAACACATTTTCAGCATGGTAAGAAAACGCTGGTTGGTAGTCACAGCTCCTAATAAGACGCAAGTCAAACATTATAGCGCAAATGGTGCAGCAAAGCACATGAAAAGACAAATGAACACACAAACAGAAGCGCCAACTCACAACTAAAGAATTTTTAATAGCACAAAGCACATACATACATACATGTGGCTACACAACACAAAAAGAACAAACAAAAGCCAAGTATGATCAACGGTTTTTTCATCTGCTTTGTTGCACCATTTTAAATCGATGCATCTACCCCGACTCGCCCAATGGTCAATGTTATTATAGCGCCTGAAACACAGCCTGGAACTTACAGTCAACTCCAAAGTCAGCCAAGAATTGTTCTCTCTTCTTCCAACAAATGATGCCATAAGCCTACATGACCATTCCAAAACCCAAAGCACCCCGCTATGGGATGATTTCAGGATCGTGAGCTGTATAGGTACCACATCCACTGCAAGATGCTGCATTGTACCCGTGCTCATGATCAAACTGAAAGTAAGCCGGTGGTTCGAAGAGAAAAAAAAAAGGAGAAAGGACAATTCTGAAGGCCTGCTGAAGAATGGATGCATATTCTTGCCCCCTTGTCATCATCTTCCTTTCTCGCCCCCACCCTCCTCCCACCCCCGATCTCAGTGCACTCCCTGGTATGAAAAGTGAGAAAAAATGCCTGACATGTGACACTGTGGTGACCTCGCTACTCACCGTAGCGGATGATCACCGTGGGTTCAGGTTCAGCGAGCCACAGGGCCGCGTCTCCGTCATCTACTCACGTGTAGTGCACCGCTCCACGCGCGCTCAACTAACAAAGCAGTTATTGCAACACAGCAAGACAGACAGCGTTCGATTAACAGCAATACACAAACACTTTATAGCCTTAGGCAGCACCCTGAACAACAGTACAGCGTGCGCTCCCAGGACACGGAAAGCAAAGGCTCCCGCACGCGGACGTTCACAATAAGGGGAAACTGCGTGCACGTCACAGCTGGCAATGGCGAGCTTTGACACACTGATCGGGAAAAGGTCCCTTGCAGCTATGCTGCCCACTCTCACGATGGCCGCTGGGTTCGGTCGCGAGAGTTCGGGCAAACCTCATACGCGTAGGCCTCCGGTAAGTGCAGCTTGGCATGGTGCGATCACTTCAAGCACTAGGCACCGCTGTTGGCTCATCGTATGGTACCGAAGCTAACACTCAGGTAAACACGCTCGCCGAGGATGCTTAGGCACCCAGGCAGGCTACAGTGGCAATTCCCAAAGGGGACGCCGACAAAGGAAAATCATGTGCTTACCAGGCGCTGGCCAACAGAGGAGAGCCCCCTTTCCAGTGTGCATGTGACCCGGCCTCGCTAATTCTCACAGTCCCGCACATGGCGCCATCTATTGCCATGTGCCGTTACCACAGCACGAGAAAGGAAAAGGAGCGGCCATACGGCGGAATGCCCGCGAAATGGTCGCAGGTGTGCCTCAGATCCCCACAACACAAATCCCTGTTGCTCTACTTATATCTGAAGAAACGTAAAGTTTTGTGAGGCAATAAGAAAATCCTCGACAATGTTACTTTTGAATATTTTTCATTTATATACTTCAAATGAATAGTGAATGCTAGTTTGGAATCAAACATGAGGGCTAGAAACTCGAACTAATTTCTTTCTTCTGAGTTTTTTGCCAGTAAAGTATGAGTGTGGAATTGCTGAAAAGAACATTCAATTTTCTAGAAAAAAATATGTTTGTGAGTTTTATGTGGCCTAAGCTTAAAAACTATTTTAATCAGCTGTTGTGGACTCCTTATCTGCTAAGCAGGGGCGTAGCCAGGGGGTGGCACACCGGGCAAGTGCCTCCCCCCTCACCCATGGCATACAGAGCGAAAAACTATCATTTTAAGGGGTGCCATCCCCTAAGTAAAATAGGTGTCCCCCCCCCCCCCCCCCCTAAAAACATTTATGCCTGCGCCCCTGCTTTTGTGAGCTGTTTTCCACAATATTCATGGTTATAGGATAAGAAATCAATTTATATTTCATCAACACATACAGAATTAAAGACGTTCCATGGTATTGCAGTTCACATAAAAATCATTCAAAATAAATACAATGCAGCATAAGAACAGCCCCTGAGGCATTGGCATAGCCAGGGGGAAAAGGGTTGTCTACATCCCTCCCTCCTCCGCCCCAAAAAGTTTCAATATTGCTTGTGTATACACACACACGCACCACATATGAAGACATTGTAGTAAGAGTGTTAGCCACAGCCAAAAGTTGAACTGAAAAAGACGATGGAATGCGCGCAAAAGGAATAGAATGTGAAGCACATGAACTCGAGAACGCGGACGGGCAAAGCCAGCATGGCCGGCAAGCCGAGCAGCGCAGGAGGTTCGACTTGAGGAGACCAAAATGAACCGAGCTGGTGATAGTAGACTAGCCAGGACGAGCTTGGTGGCTCCGTGCGGGGAGCGAGTGTTCCGGTCGTGCTGTTCCAGTGTGCAAGCCAGAGCGAGCAGCCGATCCCAGCCTGAGTGATTCCGAGAGCAACCAGCTACTGAAGCCGTTTACATGGTGCTGAGTTGGCCCGGGGCCGGCACAACCACCTGCTGACGGTGTGACCTTGGAGTCACATGTGTTAAAGTCCAGAACAACCACTTGTTAAGGGCGTGGCTTTGGTGCTATGCCATTGCATTGTCGTCCCATGTGTTTCTGATTGAGCAGTTCTACGTCTGCTCGTGGCCTCACGACCGACTCATCGCGTCGTCCCTGCTGCAAGCTTGCGTCAGCTGCACGGTAATCGGTACCGTCATTGATGTCAGTGAATGGAACCATAAACTCTGTACTAGACAGGGCGCAGGGATGTTTGCGTATGCCTATGGACTGTCAGGACTGAGCATAGAGAAAAAGAGCTGTATATAGCAAGTCTATGTGTGCGTATTTGTCTTGTTTTCTTGTCCTTGACTCTGTGTCTGAGGGCCCATGGACCCACCTCAGACATGCACAAACGTACAGAGAGGGTGGTGAACCCCTCCTCTCCACAAAAACACAACACACAAACACAGTGAAAAGCAGCCAGTCAAGAGCGTCACAATCGGCATGTCATTGTCATCATCATTGTTGCCAGATTGCTTTCACACATTGTAACACGCTACATACTAACATAGTGACATTGATGTTCACGACCAAGTCTTTTATTGAGACTCTAAGAACCAAGATAAACAGCATCTCTTGCGTGCTTTGTTGAAAGCAAGCTATCAACGTTGCTAGTCCGACCGATTATTGTTGGCTACCCTATTTAGTTCTTTTGGATCAACCTTTGGAAATACATGAATTTGACCATGGTAGCTTGCTTGGTGCATTGCAGAAGGAGCAGCCTTACCTGATTGGCTGCTGTCGTAGTAGGTGGTGCCATCCGTACTCTCTTCGCACTAGGACCATGGTTGTTGTTGTCTTGGGTACCCCCTTGGTTGTTCGCAGCTGCTGTCTGAAAGAGTGGGGCCACTTTCAGTCAACTTTCTTCTAGATGATAGCATTAGTTATTAATGTCTGCTATCCTTGTGAAGTGGGTGCCTGGAAATGTGCCTAACACCATAGAGATTTACTATGAATAGAAATGTAGGTTGTGCTTTAGAGGTCACTTTAAATATACTAGCCAGCTGGTTTCTATTACTTTTTCTTGTTTTCTTCATGTATTTGTGACCACATGCTCTGCATCTGCATGACGCACGCTTAAATTTCTATATATGTACCTAAGTCAATAAACTGGGCACTCTGCTTTGTTATAGTTCAATTTCATACCAACATGCCTAAGCTTCCACATTTAATGGTTGAAAAAAAAGTTGTTTAGTCCGGCAGTGAATGTGTGGCTTCACCCACCCACTCCCCACACTATGGCAACACAAATTGCTGGCAACCCACTAACAAGGAATGATCAGAGCCTCCCTGCAGTGTCCAATCACAACACCAATAAGCTATTCTTATTCTTCAGACTCCTGTAATTGTGGTTCTGAAAGCAGCTTGAGAACCTTCAAATTATCATCTTTCATTGTTTCGTCGTGTTCGCAAGTGCAGAGTGGAAGAATATGCCAATCACTGGCACGCCAGGAGTAATAAATTGAGTAGTCCACAGGGAGAAAGAAGACATCGTCGTTGCTAAAAAGTTTTGGTTGGTAACTTGGTCAGAAAAATGAGACCACACTTGATGTGTGCACAATACGCAACAGCTGATTCCAAGGACAGCATGACAACTGCTGGTTTCAGCACCTTAAGATACACCGAATTATAGGGCAGCTGATTCAAAGTATGCAGCTGATAAGGCCAGCAGAAGTGACCATCAGCCAAATACAGCTTAAAATCTTGGAAATGGAGCCCTGAGGCATAGGGTAGCTGATGAGTAAAAACAAGTTCTTGGCCTTCATTGCTAAAGATTTCTAAAATGACAGGAGGGAATGTACAATCAGCCTGTTAGTTTAAAAACTGTTGAATACCGAACTTTTCAGAATAACGAGCATTATTTAGTTCCATATTGTATTAACAACGCCTCAGTACTACAAACTCATGTTCTGAAATCTGCCGCAACCACCGGAGTGGTACGCAAGCAAACGACAAAGCGAACGGACTCCTTGCTTCTCGAAAGACGCGCAATGGTGCGGAGGAAAAAAAATGAAAGGGCGAATTTATTTCTTTTCTTTTTGTTGAAATGCCGACGCTGCAGGTTTACAAGCGTCGAGGCGAGGGGCAAGAGCAACACGGGAGGGCAAGGTCAGCGGGATAAAGTGGGAGTTGTGTAGCAGGAAGCATGGGGGCAGAAAACCTGAAACAGCGAGAGCAGAAAACGAAATGCGAGGAATTTCTTTTTTTAGCACTTTTCTTTTCTTCAAAAGAGGTGATGACAGCCACGATGCTTCAAGTTTTTCTTTCTTTGTCACTTCTACATGTGCTCTAGGAGGCCTTGTCTGTCAGTCGTGTTCACCGCTTTTCGGCACAAAGCAAGTCGACGTTTGTGCTGCAGTGCTACTACAAATGAGTTCATCTCTGCTCGCGACAAAGAAGCGGATGCAGTTTTGGGTAGGCGAGAAAGTGGATATTCTTCGGTAACTGAAAGGCAAAAGGTAGGCTGTCGTGACCAAAAAACCGAATCGCACCACACAACTGTGGATGAGCTGAAGGCCTTCGCGCTCCAAAATTTGTGCCGCAGGCGCAAAAAGAAAAAAGAAACACGAGCTACTTTAAAGTAAATGTGCATTTTTTTTCACTCGAGCATTTGTTTTGTTTCGTGAAAAACGAATTCAAGGATGCACCGTTGTAAAGATAAGTCATTCTGATTGGTGAAAAACAAGTATTTATGGTTAATTTTTAGGCTTTCACTATAACAACCTTTCAAAATAACGAACAAATTGCCACGGCCCCCTGAAGTTCTTTATACCGAGATTTCACTGTCCATAGCGTCTCAAAGGGTTAATGTTCCAAAAGAATCTATATAATTCACGTCATACATGTAATCGCATCGATTCTCTCCAACCGCTGCGTCAGAGAGAACCAGAGTACACCAGATACTCTCCGCAGAGGAGTTCGATGACCAACGTCCAAGCCAGCTTTTGCGGCGAATGACTCAGCTTCTCGGCACTAGTGTGACAACTACGAACACTGCAGTGCTACGTGAACTTTTTCTCCAGCGACTGCCGTACCAGGTCCAAGTGGTGCTTAATACAGACACAACCATGTAATTTGACATCACTGGCTGCGCTAGCCGATAAAGTTATGGAAGTGGCGACACCAAGTTTCCCAGTCGCCTCAATCAGTACACCCATGCGATCGACACCACCGACCACTCCTGCCACCCCTGTTCATCCACCTAACGCTGTACACACTACCGATGGCCCCTCCGATGTTGCCGCCTTTGTGCTCGACTGAAGCATCTCATTGTAGCAGAAACTTACCCAAAGCCATCCGCACATCGTGAGCGCCAACGTCATCGTTCTTCGATGCCCATTCGACACAGAAGAGAGCGAAGTGACTCCCCAGGTTCACGTATGTGCTTTTACTATCACTCAAAGTGGTTGCCATGCACCGTTGAATTTCTGCTGTCGAACAGCTTCTAGCGCTGTGTTGAAGCGTCAGTCATGAGTGCCAGAGTGCAATCTGGTTGTGGGTGGGCGAGTCGAGTGTCTTCGGCCAAGGTGCGCTTGATGGCAATAAATGCGTCATCCGCAGCAAAGTCTCATTGTAGTGCTTTCGCTGAGTGCTTGCCGCAAAACATGCAGTCTAGGGGTTCCAGCAGCATCGCGCAGTTTCTGATAAAGCGGCAGTAAAAGTTTACGAGACCAAGAAACTGGCGGAGCTTTATGGTTGACGATGGTTTGGAAAACTCAATGATGGCTTGCACTCTGTGAGAAGTGGGCGGATGCCGTTGGTGTCCAAGTAGTGACCAAGGAATTTGAGGGCTTGTTGTCCAAATTGGCTCTTTTCCGTGTTGATAATTACGCCATTTGCGGACAGGCGTTGGAAGAATTGGCGCAGGTGGTGAAAGTGTTCTTTGGACGATGAACTTGCGACCAGAATGTCATCAACGTATGCAAATACGAAAGGCGGTCCCCACACAACAGAATCAATAAAATGCTGAGAAGTCTACGCAGCATTTCGAAGTCCGAATGGCATTTTGATGAATTCAAATAGTCTGAATGGTGTTGTGATTACTGTTTTTGGAATGTCTTCATCTGCTATAGGGATTTGGTGATAGGCACAGACAAGATCGATTTTTGAAAAGATGGTTGTGCCACGGAGAGCTGAAGTGAAGTCCTGTATGTTGGACAGTGGGTATTGGTCCGGAACGGTCTTGATATTCAGAGACCGCATCTGCCTATCGCTTTCTGTAAGAAAATCTTCGATTCTTTGCACAACCTTTCCTTCTCTGGAAGTCATGCAACTCAAAGGCTAATCAAATCATGCTTCGTCTGGTGCCACATGAATGCTGACATTTGCGGCTGAGCACGTCGGTGCACACCATGTCAGCGTGCCAAAGTACATGGTTACCCAGCACCCCCCTTTCAGCGTTCATCAGCCTGTAGACTGATGAACATTCCGCAGTGGTCCACATCGACATCGTTGGCCCTCTTCCTCCTTGTCAAGGTTACCGGTATTTATTGACTCGTGTTGACCGCTTCACCCGATGGCCTATGGCTACGCCTATCCTTGACATCACAGCAGCTACAGTGGCAAATGCTTTTGTCTCTACTTGGGTGGCGCGATTCGGTTGCCCCACAACAATTGTCACTGACCGCGGCCGCCAGTTCGAGTCATCGCTTTTCAAGGCACTCCTCAAGCTACTAGGAGTGTCACGACTCCGAACTGCCTCTTAACATCCTCAAACAAAGAGGCTCGTAGAACGTTTTCATCGTCACCTGAAAGCCGCGCTTACAGCACACGGTCCCACGGCCAGGTGGCTCGAGGCTCTCCCACTCACGCTGCTGGGAATTCGATCTGCGTTCAAGGAAGACATTTCGTGCACCAGTGCCGAGCTTGCTTATGGAGCCCCTCTTCGTTTACTGGCAGATTTCTTCGACGCCACTAAACCAGGCTATTCGCCCACACCAAGCGAGTACGCTGACAAACTGCGTGATATCTTCCGAAACCTTCAACCACAGACAATGCGAGCAAGCCACTCACAAACTGTTTACATGACTCCTGACCTCCACAAAGCCACACATGTCTTCGTGCACTGCTGCCCCGTACGCAGTCCCCTGCAACCACACTATCTTGGGCCCTTCCATGTACTTGAACGCTATTCCTCAACTTTCATCGTGGACCTTAATGGAAAGCCCGATGCAGTCGCACTTGAGCGGCTGAAGCCAGCATACGTAGACAGCCCGGTTACTTGCATTTAAGCATCTGCTATGTGTCCTCTCCCAGCGCCTGAAGATCGTTACGACCAACACGAAGTACCTCCGGCTTGCCGGGTTTATTGAAGCTAACTGATCGTTCGTCACTTCAGCTTCCTTTCTCGAAGGGAGAGCTCTGTGGTGAGTGTCCGAACACGTGCCTCCGCACCCCCCCTAACATAAACTATGTGCCCTCAACTTTACTCTGTGAGTCATCTCTTACACTGCGCTTTTGTATATACGTAAAACATCTTCCTTTGTACGCTTTATTCCTCCTCTCCTTCCTCCTCTCCTTTCTCCTCTCGTGCCGGCGGCCCGCACTCGCGTGCCATCGCAGCTCGGCAGACGAAGAATAACCTACCATACTGCACCCGGACGTCTTGTCTCGCAGCCAGTCAATCCGCCGCATGCCCACTACAGCTGAAATGGCCGGTGAGGTGGCTCGATGGGCTGTAAAGTCCAGCAGACCTAGTCAGCGGTGTCTGCGATCGCTGACAATCTCGGCACGTTTTCACGTAACAAGCCACATCCACAGCAAGGCACGGCCAGTAGTACTTTTCCTGTATTTTGGCAAGTGAGTAACAGCCAGGTGTCTGGTCGTAAGGTC